GGACGCCCGGCAGAGACGGGCGGATAATCGCTGGCAGCAATTAAGGAGACAAAGGAGATAATTGGACCCAAGTGGTGGTTGTGATTAGGCCCTTCCCAAGAGACTATATAAGGAGAGACTTTGGGAGGAGGCTGTTTGCAGGATTCAACTAATATACTAATGCTGGAGAAGCTCTCGTGTGTATTTCTTATCTTGGAAGTCTGGGTTGCTGCCAAAGTCTTGTCGGTGTGTTAATTTACTGTGAATAAATTGTTTAGCAGTAATCTTGTGGCGGCGTGCCGCATCGTAAGGATGGGGGGGGGGGGGTAAGAACAGAACATAATCATAATCAAACTGCTTAGGGTAATTTGATTGCAGCTAAATAGAAATGTTCCCCAAAATAATTGTTGTTCTCAGTTAGCATGATTAAGTGATGCTAGATCTAAAAGTGGGTCTGGAGTAATGGTGAACCGGGTTAAGAATTTAGGGTGAATACCACCACTCTACATGCTGGTAAATTGTGAAGATAGGCAATGTGGATTTAAGTTTTGAAAAGCTGTGTATTTCTGTTTTTCCCTTCTCCTTTGCAAATAGCGAGTTAGATCCTATTCTCGTCTCTTCCTGCTTTTTTAGCTTTGTGTCTCCTCCCTTAGAGGCAACTGCAGTCACTGTGCATGAATGGAGCGCTCCTTATTCTTGTGTGGATCCCCTGAGCGTTTGTGTCCCTGTCTCTTCTCCATCTGGGCTCATTGAAGGCACGGTAAGTAGGGGAGGTAGCTGGAGGCAAAGGGTTGTCGAGCTCTGTTTCTGAATAGTGAAAGAGGATTTGCGCGTTTCAGAATCAGTCATGCTATAGCAGTGCATCAATAATGCATCAGTAATGCTATTACTAGCTAGGCCGCTTCTTTTGCTCGCTGTGTGTGAGGAGAAAGTGCACCTCTGTCACACTGGCTCCCGTTCATTTCTGCGGATGCATAAGGTGTAGCATTTGGCAACAGGATCCTGTCATTTCTGTTTACATTTCGGGGGATTCCCCTTCTCGTTTCAAGAAGAAATTCTATGATTGTGTATCTTCCTCATAGTAGTGTCAATTCTCTGCCCTTGGTGCAATTTGGGCACCAAATCATTCAATTTAGCTTTATTTAAATCAGGGCAGCCGGCTCAGGCAGTTATTATCCATCCTCTGCTCCTTTATTTGCAGTCATTAAAGTCATGAAATTTGTCAAATTACAAGGGCAAAATTGGGGGGGGTGTTCTTTTTTTTTTTTAAAGGAATATTGTATCAACAAATATAAGCAGAAGTTCACACATGTTCTCCGACACCTCAGGCGTACTTCAGGCGACTCATCATCTCTCCTGTACAATTCCAGGAAAAGGAAGGTTGGCCCTGTGCACCCAGCACAATCACCTTGGATATTAGATCCATGCAAATTCTAATTACTGCAGCAAAGGAGAGAAAAGCAAGGCAGCATCGGTGACCCCTGAAGTTCTGTTGCCGCTACACGTTTAATCGGATCACCTGCCAGCCCAGTCAAATCTCCTTGCCAGGAGTTCTGGCAGCACAGTCACATGAATCAAACTGACAATTAGGGTAATGCAGACGCTCCATCCATTTTTCTCCAGGAAGTGCCTCGGGTTCCGTGAGCCCTTTGCAACCGAAGAGCAAGTAGCTTCACTCTAATTGACTCAATTAACCCAAAATTGTGGATTCAAAGGCTCTGATCAATGAACATGTTACGTGAACTGGGTTTGTACTCTTCTAGGCTGGTTCATTGCAGCTACAGTATTTATTTAATGTTATTTGTACAGCTGCCCATCTCACATTTGTGTCTCTGGGTGGCTCATAGTTAAAAAGAACCAAATAACAATAGACAAAAATGCAGGAAGAGAGTAAAAATGCAATACAGGTAGTCCTCGACTTACGACCACAACTGAGCTCAAAATTTCTGTTGTTAAGAGAAACAGCTGTTAAGTGAATTTCGCTCAATTTTACGACTGTTAAGTGAACCAGTGCAGTTGATAAGTTAGCAACCTGATTATTAAATGAATCTGGCTTCCTCACGGACTGCTTGTCAGAAGGTCACAAAAGGAGATCACATGATCTGTGACCCGGCAACGGTCATAAATATGCACCAGTTGCCAAGCGCCTGAATTTTGATCACATGACCATGGGGATGCTGAAAAGATCATAATTGTGAAAAACGTTCGTAAGACCCTTTTTTTCAGTGCCGTTGGAACTTTGAACGGTCACTAAATGAACTGTGGTAAGCCGAGGACTAGCTGTAATCCTAAAATCCAAATAATAAAAAAAAACTAATTAAAAGCAAAATTAAAACATAAAAGCATAAAAAGCAGGCAAGTCATGGATCAATCAATGGGACCATCTTGCAGACTCCAAAACTGTAACCAGATCCCCAGGTTGGTGGACAAAATAATGTCAAAGGGCAAGCAGGCTTGAATCCAATCTAACCTCCTGGGAGGCGGGGGGGGGGATCATGTTCTAAATCACCTGTCACCAACTGGTAGTCCATGGATCACTGGTGATCTGTGAGAAAATTTTGGTGGCCCACAGAAAAATTATTTGCATTTTTTATATTGCACTAAATCAGGGATCCTCAAACTACGGCCCCTGGGATGGATACGTGCAATGAATGCTTGTGTTGATGCAGAGAGTCTCCCCTTCGGGGTCTTTTTGTGCAGATTGTAGGGGGGCAGAAATTTCCACTTGGGGTCTCCTGGTGAGGGGCTATGGGTGAAGGCTGGAGGGAAACACCGCTGGTGGCGAAGAGCCAGAGGGCCTCGTTCCAGTGGGACTGCATCATGGCCTGGAACTGGCTGACCGTCTCAGCCTGCTGAGCCTCCAGGCACCAGTA